TCAACAGTAAATTTTTTGAAAAAATAATTAATTATTTTTTGGCAGGGGGAGGTAATTAGGTTTATTTATTTTTAGAGGAGGTACAGGGGATTGAACCCACAACCTCGTGCATGTGAAGCATGCGCTCTACCCCTGGGCTATAACCTCCCCACTCAGTACATTTTTTAAAGTGGAAAGATGATGTTTTCTTGCATAGTAACTGACTTTTTGTTAAAAGCCAGATTTATTAAGCATGATTTACACAGAGTATTACTCATTCTTAAGCAGGTACGATTCCGTGAGGTCTGACAAATACACAGTTGCAGAATCACCCAGCAGTCAAGATGCAGAACAGTTAACATCACTGCCCAGAATCCCTCATATGACTTTGTAGCCAACCTCTTACCCCGACCTCAGCCTTTGGCATCCACTGATTTATTTTCTGCCTTTATGGATTTACGTTTGCCATAGTGTCATACAAAACAGAATTCTACAATGTGGACTCTTCTGAGTCTGATTTCTGTCATGTAGCATCATTCACTTCACAGTCATCGTGTTAAACGTATCAGCAGTTCCTCCCTTTTTAATGGTTGAGTAGTGTCTGGATGAACCAGAGTTCACCAGTCTAGTTGAAGGATACTTGTCTTGTTTCCGGTTTGAGGTGGTTATCAAAAAGTTGCCATAAATATGTGCAGTAAGATTTTTATGTGAACTTCAGTTTTCATTTCTCTTTGGTTAGTATCTACCAGGGGGACGGGTGGGCTAAATACATGTGTGTTTAACTTGATAAGAAACTGCCAAACTGTTTTCTAAAACGTTTGTACCATTCTGAGTTCCCACCAGCAGTGAACAAGAGTTCCACTTCCGCTGAACCCTTGACAGCATTGTCTTTTTCCCCCCTGAATTCGGTCGTCCTCATAGGTATACAGTTAAGGTCCTTTTTTTAAACCTATACAACTACAAACTTAGGGATGTTGTAGGTATAGATATGGACAGCAAGGAAGGTGCAGTGTGTAATGGAGTCATTTTTTTAAGCTACATTTTTTTTTAAAAGCAAAAGAGTATGACCTTCTATTCGTTATTGAGAGCTAGGTAAAGTAAATTTAAGACTACAGTTCCCTAATCCTTGCTTGAAGACTTTTATAGAATCTAAGCTTAAAGAATTGGCTCTGAACCTTGGCAACCCTGAAATCCAGCCCCTCCTACGTTCGATGGGAGTCTGTGGGGTGCTTCTTTAGAAGGGAAACCCATGAGATTCTCTATTGAAAATACCAGTGACCCCTGAGAGATAACGAAGCTTTTGTCCCCCAGGCTCCAACCTCAGTTATACTGTTAAAATAAAATAGAATAAAATATTAAAATAGAGTAAAATAAAACAAAATAATAAAAATAGAATAAAATAATAAAATAATAAAATAGAATAAACTAATAAAATAAAATAAAATAGAATAAAATAAAATAATAAAATAAAATAAAATAAAACAAAATAATAAAAATAGAATAAAATAATAACAAAAGAGAATAAAATAGAACAAGAATTAAATAGAATAAAAATAAAATAGAATAAAAACAAAACAGAATAAAAACAAAATAGAATAAAAATAAAATAGAATAAAATAATAAAATAGAATAAAATAATAAAATAGAGTAAAATAAAATAATGAAATAAAATAAAACAAAATATAGATAGAATAAAATAACATAATAAAATAGAATAAAAATAAAATAAAATAAAATAGAATAGAATAAACGTAGCAGCTGGCTTTTGCTAAGACCAAGGCAGAGTGAAATAATGACTCCGTTATCCCTGCTACCCATTTTCCCAGTCTCCTCTGACATCAGGGAAATGGTCCTTCACAGGCAGCCTGCTTTCGTCTGTACGTTCTGTGCCTGGCTGCTCTAGGCTTCCCCTTACCGGCAAGACATGAAGGAGGAAATGTGACTTCAGATCTGCCGAGGAGGTAATGCGCAGACTCCAGGGTGTAGTGTAAGTAGAGACAGCACGTCGCTGTCTTCAGTACCCTGTAACAGATCTGTCACAGCTATCCTTTGATGACCTCCAGAAGGATCATTCCCCCTCTGACTTGGGAAGCCCTGGTCTTGCCCAACATCACTCCATAACTGTTCAGCGCAGGGCCCCGGAGGGCCAGACAATTCCGTGCTTTTCACAGAGTCTACAGAGTACACACCCTAGGTCTCGCATCTCCACCAATGCCTTAACCCAGAAAACACTGCCATCCCCACCTGGACGCATATTGTCCACTTCCTTCTCTTCTCAGGGAGAAAGTATTAAGTAACTTTCTTTCTTTCTTCTTTAAGCTGAGTGCTTTCTGAGGGTGGGGGCTCACGCCTAGCACAAAGTATCTAGAAATTTCCAGGAGCCAATCCTCTTTGTTGGATGAATAGACGGATGCAATTGTGTATGTGTAACACCAGCCACCTTCATACAGCACGATGCTGCCATTCTGCCTTTCTTTCAAAGAGCGTTAGAATGGCATTGCCTTAAAAAACAAACAAAACAAGGAACAAAAGAACAATGCCCATGGTTTTTCTTCCCCGTTGGTTAAATGTATTATTACACTCACCTGGCATAAGTGGCTTTGGTGCAGCCGCCCTTTAAGGTGGCTCCAAGTTGTCATTTTGCTCAGAGCGATTCATCCCCTGGTGGAATCAAAGAATAGACGCTCCTTTCACAGCTGGTGGGAAACAGGAGGGTGGAACTCCGTCCTGCCCAGACGTGCGTGGTGGCACTGGGTTCCAGACAGGCAGGCAGCGGCTTCGTGAATCTATGAATCTTCTGTTTTGTTTTTTCTGTTTGCAGATTTTATTCTTCACCGTACAGTATCGCAACCAACCGCATGATCCCACAGACATCTATCACGCCATTCATTGCTGCTTCCCCTGTCTCCACATACCAGGTATGTCCGGTTTACCTGCATCTCATGACAGCTCTGTCTTGCCAGTAATAGGCTCTAGCAAGGCACAGGGGACACAGTAGAATTTTTTCTTTTTAAGTCATTTTTTTTTTTAGTGTCATCGTAATGGAATCATACTCAAACTATCAATATGGCCCACACTCTCCAGGGCTTGTCTGCCTGTTTCACTGAATTGTAAAAATCCACTGTGCTTTGCATCCTTCTCGCTGAGTTTCCATGGTGACGCCACTTTCCAGCCAACATCTGCCCAGATTTCTTAATACCGAGACGTCATTTTGTTTGTTGTCTGTGATTTGGGGTTAAGAGTTTCCCTCGTGGGGTCTTTTCTGCAAGCCCATTTCTGACCCTCCCTGCAGGATACGTTACCACTGTCATCTCATTTTGTCATATTGTCCCGTGTCTCCATGAAGAGCTACATGGACAAGATGGTAATCACGTGGTCCAAGAACTAGGGAAGATTCTCAAGGGGGTGCCAGTCCTTCCTCCTTCCTGCTCTTGCTTCATTCATGGTTCCAAAGAGGCCAAAAGAGACCGCAGGGCTTCCACATGTGGAGACACGAGAAAGTCTGAGACTCAGTGTTGTGTCCTCAGCCACTTAATTCTAAGTGCACAGGTGGATTGAAATTAGCCCTACTTCCCCCCTGAACAGTGTTCCTTACCTTATTCCTTTGAGTTATAAAGCATATGATAGTTCTCCCTGCTTCTCTTTATCTCCTAGAGCTCTTCAGACAATTCTTCTAATCATAGTTAGAACAGTAACAACAGAAAATGCTTATAAATGCTACATATCGAGGGTGCCTAGGTCATTTTTTAAAACTTTGCAGAGAGTGAGAGAGTGTGTGAGTGTGGGCGCGCATGCGTTTCTCAATATTGTGCACCTCTTGGCGGGGAGGCTTTACCACGGGGAGAACCGTAACGTGGGTACCAATTCAGGGAGGCTTCCCCTTAATCAGTCACTACATACGTCATCTCGGGATGTCCCAGCTGTCCTGAGCATCTCCCTTAAGACCATACACATTTTTGCCTTTAACCGGTCTCCCCTCGGAAGCAGATCATTTTCATTCTTTTTCTGCACTTAGATTCTTGACACCTGTTGGGGGAGGTGAGTGGAATAGACTTTTGTGTGCATTGCATCAGAGGGTCTCAGAGCAGCTGATGTCTTGACTGCCTTTCCTTGGGACCCAGGAGGCTTAAAGGCAGGTGCTGTTCAGTTTTTGTCCTGCCTGGTTGTCCTGTATGCTTTTGGTTTTTTTCCCTGATCTTGGCCTCTGTTGCAGCCAAGACCACCCATTGAGCTCCACTGTAGAGCACTCTGGTGACATGAATCAAATGGAAAAAAAAAAAAATCTCTCCAGAAAAGTGATTTCACTTGGGAGAGCCCAGAAATGGAATTTAACACCAGCTCTCTTTTATCAAAAAAAAAGAATTAAAGCAATTTCCTATGTTTTTGATTCTTGCTTTTCACTGCCTTTTTTTTTTTTAAATCTAAAGTTCACTGGCATTTCATTGGTATGAGTACATTGAAAAGAGAATCTTCAGGGTACTTTATGTCACGGTCAGCTCTCAGAAGCTGACTTTGTCATTTGCCTGATGAGGGACATTGCAGAACAGTTGGCTGACTCATAGACTCCGTTTGGTTTGCCATACTAATTACCATGGGAGGGGGAAAAAAAATCACAAATTTGCTTAACTTGGGTTTAACCCAAAGCATTCCCCCAAGTTTCTGGCTGATCTCCTTAATTCTTTCCCCGACTTTTACCACTTGGATTTATTTCCAAGATGGGATCGCTTGAGAATTTGGAGTTAGAACCAACGACAGAAAAAGAGGGAGTCTTGGCAGTCATGCTAAGTAACACCTCCTTCATTATTCACCTGCGGATCCCTGGGGTTTGACCCCTAAAAATAGGAGGTCCCTGAAGCCTCAAACACCAACGTTAAAGTAAGTCCCAAGACCCCGCCTGGCCCGTGCGGGCACGACAGCCCACTCTAGTGAAGCACAATTTGCTTTACATTTTGCCATGTTTCAGGGACCAATGAATCAGGTCCGAGAATTTCCTTTCAAGCCTTAGTTTTGAGCGCCAAGTTAGCTGTCAGTCAGATGGACTCCACTTTCTTAGGACCTAGTGTGACTCCGCTGAACGCAAGAACCAAGTTCTCTCTGTGATTGCTTTGTGCTAATAAATGCTGTTTGATGCATAGGTCCAGAGTACTTCATGGATGCCTCATCCGCCATACGTTATGCAACCAACAGTAAGTGTTCTCAGTCACCTGAGGCTCAATGTTTCTATTATCCAAGTGCGAGCGATTGTAACGCGTAGAGGCTTTGGGGTGAAGCTTTTGTGCCATTCCATCCATCTTTCAGGCAGCCTTGTTTTCCAGATAATAAAGCTGTTTCTGAAATTTTACAAAAGTATGTACAGTAGATGGACAGAGAGAGAGAGAGAGAGAGGACAAATTCTATTGGAGGAAATAGCCATCAACCATGTCAAGTTGATGTCTACCATTTGTTATGCACAGGGCATCTCTACTTCACGCGAGAACTGCGAACTCTGGGCAGTTAAATCCATGATGGAGGAAAGCCTTTCTGTTGTCTTCCTCCTCCCGTCACGCCTTGTTTTCTTTGGATGCAGTTCGGTGTGCTTTGGGAACGATTTTGGGTATCATGGCCAAGTGCTGACTCAAAGCAAGAGTTGAAATATGAAGGGATTTGTTTACTAATAGATGGAGATACATACAGGTAGATCACAAGGTTGGTCGATTACATTTATGGAAACTGACGAGAACCATTCTTTTCCTTCTTTAGTGGAAAATTCCTTCCAAAAATGTTCAAGCTCTTTTTCCGAGTAGCGGGCGTTCCCATTCGCTGGCGCGACAGAGCATCAGTCCCAAGGGGAAACTGTTACATATTCCGTTAGGGTCTAGGCTGGTGGCTAAAGGCTTTGTGGATCCTGGTCCAGGTCTTGGAGGCTTTCCAGCTTTATAGAAGCATGAGACAGAGAGATTTCAGCAGCTCATGAGAGTGTCAGGTGGGGAGAGAGCCCCGGCTGAAAGCTGTGTGACAGGGTCGCTGGTGCATGCTCAAATCTGTGCCTTTGTTTCTTTTTCTGACACTGTCCTTAACAGGGCTTTCGGGAGGATCGAGGGAGAGAGGATGTGAAAGCAATTTTTAATGTATGACGTGCTATATACCGTGTTATCATGACTAAGCCTTATTACTGAATTTATATTAGTCGTACAAAGCAGCAGTGCTACGTTTGAACCCTTTTAAAAGCTAAATATCAATAAGGGAGCACATATTAAAAGTCAGGGAAATACATACACGGGACTCAAAAGATCAGAGCCCTGGTTTTCATGGTTGAGTTTTGTCCATTTTTTTAAAAAAATAAGGAACATTCTATGTTGTTCCTAATATTTTGATGGCTTGCTTTTTAATTAAAGGAAAACGTCTATGTAGCTTACTCCAGCAGACCTTCAGACCGTATTTTGCAAACCCTCCTATTTACTCTTACTTAAATACCTCAGGGGCTTTCTGAGTTCGTCTGGTTGGTTTCGTGTAAATCTTACCAACATGCAAGGGATCCAGGCTACACTTTGGTTCCAAGTCTGTCAAGAGGTAAAATCCAGTATATGCTGCCAAGCCGACATATGGCACAGACTGAGCCAACGTGGGAAAAGGGCAGAAGTCTTGCCAAGTTCTAAAGAGCAGACTTTCTGGAAGGGGACAGCTGCCTTCTGGAAAAGTAACGTGTTCCCTTGAAGAGCACTCACGCTAGCTCAGCGCTCACCCTGAAGTTAACCATCATCTCATTGTGGCCAAAAGGAAAGCACATCTGGCAAAAATCTGAGTGTGTTTTCCAGATAGCAAAGTACAGAAGATTCTACCCTTTTTCTCAAGCTGCTGAGAAGGGGAGATAACTCGTATGTGTTTTTATTTCAATTGACACTGAGGACACGAGCCAAGCGCTTCATTCCCTTGTCCTCCACCCCAGCCATTTTGGGGGAGTATTGTTTCTCATGTAGCTTCCTCCAGCAATGGGGGTGGGTGTGTGGGTGTGTGGGTGTGTGTGAGTGTGTGTGAGAGAGAGAAGTTGGCCCCTTGGCTCTTTCTTGCTCACTGATATCTTACGACTTCCTCTAGCTAGACTGTGCATCGCGTTTGAGCGTAGGTCACTCTGTTTAAGATGTGATGCTTGTGGTTGGGGCAGATTCCTAAAAAACAGGGGTGGCTGGGCCACCCACCACTGTGTCGTCTTCAACTTGGAAAAATGGGCTAGCCAGAGTCATGGAACCACCAAATCTGTAGCACCAGTCTTTGCCCTGTAGAAGTTTTGTTGGTTGTATTGTACACAGAACCTTTACCCAACTGGTCTTTGTTCCATCATCAGAGTAGAGGTTGGTTACATGAAGCACCCTCTGCTACTAAAACATAAAAATTCTTCCGCAGTCTAAGGTGAGGGAACAGAACACCTGGAGCTGAAGAGGACGAGTGAATGACTTGACAGTTAAGGGCATGGGTTCTTGGTTAGGCCCTTCGGAACAGGACATGCCTCCCTGGTTATAGGACTTTGGGCAATGAAACTTGCTGAGTTGCAGTTTTCTCATCTAATATGGACACAGAAGTACCTAAATTATTATGGTTTTTGTTCATTAAATGAAGTAAGGCTTTAAAGCTCTCAGAATAGTCTGGCCCGACAAACCGCAAACACTCAATAAAGTTATTATCAGTTATATGAGGAGATAACGATGCATGATGCTTTAAATGAGCCCAGTTATGCAAAATGAGTGTCAGTGAGGGAAGAAAGGTGAGAATTAGCAGTGATCACCCATTTCTCCCACATCCACACTGCTTACTCAGCACACTCTGCTAACCAGCTTGGTGGAGATAGCCTCTCGGACTATAAGTAAGATAAATTGCTTAGATTGGTACTTATTTCATTTATCGACTAAGTCTTCCAACACCTCCTAACGAAAAAAAATAGAATAAAAATAATGAAAGTGAAAAATAAGGGTCCACAGGGTACCTCTTTGATGTCCGTAACGGGAACCTACCTTATACATAAATTCAAGCTGTCAGTAGCTGCACATCTCCAGTATGTTGCCCATAAGAGTGATCTGCTTAAACGTCTGTCTCTTCTCATGTTTTCTCTTCCATTACCTTGAGCAAATCGCACACGTAAGATCTGGTATAGGGCTGCCCCCCCCACCACTTTGAGCGCACCCCGACCCTGCACTGCAGCCAGAATCCTGGGAATCTCACTCAGGTTTGACTCAAGGGCTTGAGGGTCTCAAGCAGGCTTGGCTCTGAAGAGGAAACAGTATGTTCAGGGAAGTCTCAGAGCGCGGTGCCTCTGGTCTGGGCTGCGGTGGACCAGCGGTCCAGCTGGAAGGGTGATGATGGGTAAGAGAGAAACGAAATGAGGGAGAGAAGAAAGAGGGGGAGTAAGAAGATGGGAGGAAAACAAAGTCCAGCTGGGCTGCTTAGCGTTGCTGCTTTGGAGATTTGCGTTTCTCAGTTGTGTGCAACACACTTTTTTGTAAACCTAGAAGGTGAAGGGTTTTTTTTCAGTATGTAGGAAGAGGGGATAGAAGTTGCCTGGCCCGGGTCAGAACTATAGTACGAGGAGTTTGTGCAAGGGATCCGTTCCCCGTCCATGCAATCAGGTATGCGTTGCAGCTTCTCAGCGCAGGGTTCTGTCCTAAACCAGGAAATCTCGCCACGATACCGACAGGGTTTTAATAGATGATGGATTGCACTAGTCTGCGTGATGGCTTGTCAGACTGGAATGTCACGCGGATGCACGATTGAAATCCCTGTGTTGTGCTACATCGGCTGTTTTGTTAAATCAGTGCTGCCAGGGAGCAAAGATGAGGGTTCCCAGGAAGAGGCATCGTTCAATTCTCTTAAATTTTCTGTAGGCTCATTTGAATCATAAATCTTCCATTCTTCACTGTGGTTGGCATTATTTCGTGTCAAGGAGAAAGGTCAGCTTTTATTTTTACTTCACTGCAGATAGGTTAGCTAACTACAGTTTTCTAAGAAATTGCAAGATGGTCTTTTTGAATCATCAGCTGCTCTGTTGCCATGCTTGGCGAAATTACGGCTTCTCTGCTTAATGAGCCTTACGTTTACAGCCAAGGGGTAAAGGTAAAGTTTCTGTCTACAGCCAAGGGGAAAAATTCAAGAAAGCTGCAGACTGTTCGATGTGGTCATTCTTGACCTGCAAATAGGTGAGGCCGAAGGCTTAATTTTAGGGGCCGCACCCTCCAAATCTGCAGGCGTGTTTTCTCTACAAGCACATCACCCATTTGGAAAGAACACCTTAAATCATTCAAATTCTGTTCAGAAAGCAAAACTTTCAGATACTACCCTTTGACGCCGACAACTAAGCTGAGGAAAAATTCTTAACCCTCAGAGTTTCATTGTCAAAGTCCCCCAGTCAAAATGTGGTTTACTAATAAGTAAGGAGTTGACCTGGGGGATGGAGGTCTGAAGATCAAATCTTTTTCTGAGTCACCGGCAAACACACAACAATGACTCTAACCCACATATACTTTTTCTAGCATTAGAGAAATCGAAAAAAAAAAAAAGTGTGAGAATGAACTTGCGAGGATACAACTTTGTTCGAGTGTCACTTCCCTGTAAACACAGTCCTGGGGTAAATCAGTACAAACAAGACGGCTTCCACAGAAAGTCTCTCTGACACCTTAACTACTTGCAGTGTTAGCTTCACCGTCATTTGATGTAACTTCAAAATTCTACGGTAATTTTTTCAAAAATCGTCTAAAATGTAGGATCGCTCAATCCAAGTTACATTGCAGTTAGCTTTATTTCTCCCCAGCTGAAAATTCTAGATGTCCTTACCTATGAGGCACACAGAGATCTTTGTCAGCTCTTTTTGGCCCACACTTTATAATCTGCCATTATATAAATGCACCAAGAAGTATTTAACCAATTTTCGATTCATAGACCTTTACATTTAAGGCTTATTTAGATGTAAGACTGTAATACTGAGCATTTGTGAGAAAGCATGTGTCTGATAAATGACTGGTACAAAAGGTACGTGTGTTCTGAAATTTGATCCACATTATTGTCAAATTGCATTTGAAGTGAGAGTGTTTACTTCCCCCAGGCCTCAGTTAACACGGGGCCATCCCAGGTTGCAAACAGTGGGTGAATGGGACAAATAGTGAATAGTATCTGACTGACTTTACGCTTCAGTTCTCCGAGTCCTGGAGACGTGGAGCTTCTT